TATCCATCCTTTAAACTAAACTAAAACTATTAATAAATAATTTTTTTCTTAAAGCCAGCCCTTACCATTCATATACTTATCAAGATTTTTCTTAAATTAACTTAGAAATACTGCTTCCACAACATCTGAAGGCAACCCATTCCTAAGGCAAACCACCCCATTAGAAAAATAAAACAGTCTTAGCTGAAGATGACTCCTACCCTGCCAAAATATGTCCCCTAGTCCTACTGTTGTCACTGTTAAGTGTGAAAAAAGATGATGCATCAAAACTGTCCTAACTCTTCTTTTTTTAAGAGAAAACAATTTCAGAGATTTCAACCTCTCCTTGTATGACAACCCCTCCATCCCAGGCACCATTCTAGTAACCCTTCTCTGCACTCTTTCCAACAATTCAATATCTTTTCTAAGGTAAGGAGTTCAATACTGAACACAGTATTCCAAATGTGGCCTAACTATTGACCTATACAATGAAATTATAACCTCTTTAGACTTGTATTCAATATTTCTGTAGATACAACCTAAAATCCTATTTGCCCTACCACTAGCAACAGCACACTGCTTGGATGGCTTTAGAAACTGATCAACCATTACACCAAGATCCCTTTCTTTCATGACACTGTTAAGGTTATTCTCATCCAAAATTATACTTATAATTCAAATTATGATAACCCACATGTGTTATCTTGAATTTATTATAATTATACACCATTTACCATTTATTTACCAATTTACTAAATGGTCTAAATCCTTTTGTAAATCAGCAGCATCCAATTTACAGCTAGCAACACCCAAGACCCTAATATCATCTGCAAATTTAAGTAATTTATTGACTATCCCTTCATCTATGTCATTGATGCAAATCAAAAATAATAAGGGTCCTAAGACTGAGCCCTGAAGTACCCCACATGTGACATTAATCTAGTTTGACTGAACTCCATTTGTAACAACTCTCTGCTTTCTTCCATCCAGCCACTCTTTTATCCAATGTCCTAACTTATCCCCCACACCTTTAGAGATCTTTCTTTTAAAAGCCTTTTAAGTGGCACCTTGTCAAATGCTTTCTGAAAATCCAGATACACCAAATCTACACTCTTACCCTCATATACATAAGCAGTGACGTATTCAAATAATGTTAAAAGATTTGTAAGGCAAGATTTTCCCTTACTAAAACCATGTTGACTATCCAATAAAGTTCTAAACTTTGTTAAATGACTTTGCAAACTATCTTTTAACAGACTTTCCAAAATTTTTCCCACAACTGATGTAAGACTAATGTGTATATAATTACTGGGGTGATTTTTATCACCTCACTTGAAAAGAGGAGTTACATTTGCTAACTTCTAATCCTCTGGTACCTGCCCACTATTCAAGGACTGACAAAAAATAATACCAAGTGGCTCATATATTCAATCTTTAACGTTCTTCAAAACCCTTGGGGAAATATTATCTGGCCCAGGAGCCTTACCATTCTTTAAACTTCCCAATTTTTTTTAACCAGTCCAGAATTAATGCAACTATCTTGTTCGATTTTGTTTCCATCTATCAACTGTTCAAAGTGTGGAATACTGTTAAATCTTCGTTAGCAAAAATCAAGGAAAAAAAGTAGAATTTAATAACCCAACCATCTCATAATCATCAGATACGAGCCTTCCTTTATCATCCACCGAGGCCCGGCATGGCCAGGTGGATAAGGTGCTCGACTCACAATCTGAGGGTCGCGGGTTCGAATCCGCATCCCA